TATGTATACATAATCTATATATAGTACCTGATGAATACACACACACACACACACACACGTATGTACTTATTATGTGTCCTAAGGACGTTTAATGTGCCATCTTGAAGTAAATTATATTGTAAATTAAATTGTTGATAAGACTTTTAGAACTAACGTCATAATAAATCAATATAGCGAAAAGAAAAAGCGATCTTTTACTATTTTATAATAAAAGCAACCTGTAACATGGACGTAAATGCAGCAGAGCCTTTCGCGATGCGTGGATCAACCTGAAAGCATCGCGCACCTTTTAATATACACCGGAAATGGAACCATACGCGAAACTTCTAGAACTTTCCGTAACTTGTTCTCGCTTATATCTTGTATATTATCTGCAGTATATATTAAATTTTACTAGAATCGAGCCGTTATCTTAAATTGTACATAAGATTTAATAGCCATTAATTTGAAGACGATGCGGAACAAAATAAATGTTCCCTCGAACAATACATCACTAGCGCCGGAAGCGCGGGGATTTTTTACGAGTTTCGTAAGACAGTATCCAATTGGTCAGTATATTATTTGGAGGGGCATTAACAATGCGGTAGTGGCTAAGTTACCACTACTGTGAACCTAAAATCGCATAACCATAACCATTAACAGATGAATATATTATACTTCATGCGTATGATATTCTTCGCTCGAAGAAAGATAAAACCAACGCTATAATTACTTATTCGCGTTTAATATTCCAACGCAGTCTTATATGAAACTTTGTTGGAATCATGGCATGTCCACGATGAAAATATAGCGGCAAATTTATACCTATCTCGAAATCATTTTCGTTGAAAAATGAACTAATAAATAAATAAATGAACAACCGTTACTGATAATATCATTTGCTAAGAGAATCTTCCAGTAACTCTTTGCTCTACAGTGAATGAATTATATATTAATGGTTTCTAGTTATTTTAAAATTATATTTACAATGAAGTTTAATAAGGGATTGATTCGTGCGCCATCTGTAAACGAGCGGGAAAGAAAAGTGTTTGAAGGCCGCCGGCCTGCCGGCCGGGCCGAGTAACTCGGGTCTTGGGCGAATCAGTGTGCGAGTCTCTCTGCCATTTGCGCGTCGGTACGCGACTACGCGGCAGTGGTGATACTAGAATTCTACGTCTGCTTACCGGTGCGTAGAAAACGCAGGCCTTATTAAGTGCGTTTTGTACCTAAGTGCTTTATCGACCATACGATTAAATTGATCAGCATGGCGGATACTGAATCTAAGTAAGTACTACAGATTTTTTTTATTGATCTATCGTAAGAAAATCGCACGTTTTCATCGAATGCTTTTGTTATGTTTCTGTGCTGGATACGGTAACGGCGGGTCAACAATGTGTTTCACATTCCCAATTTTTACTTGTTTGTTTTAAAGAAATCAAACGTGATTTGATTTGACCAGTTTGATGTTATTTGTATCGTGATTGATTGTGTACTTTTGAAAGCGTACGTAATTTGTACAGTCACGAGAAAGGGACCACAGAGGAGAGAGGGGATGCTCTCTCTACGTGATATTCTCAGCTTGATTCGTAAGGCGCGTTACGTTCTCAGGATTACCTGCTTTTGCCATAACATGTGCTCTACTTGCAAACCACTTTTCTGGCGGCATCGTTTATCCTTTTATTTTCTCCACTTGTAGCTTCAGCTACATGGGATACATAACAAGAAAGTACATATGTTTGTTTGTTATTAACATTTATTTCATGAATATTTTAATCGTGAATTAAATATTTACGAATACTCTAATTATTTATTATCGAAACAATTATTTATGAATCATTTAATATTTTTGCGAATATAATAGATAATTATATGTTTGCAAACCGAGTATTATAATTTTTCGGTGTTAAGGATGGCTTGAACATTTTTCTATAAAGATATAAAGTCTTGATTGTTATAAAAGGAACTATTTTGCAAATAATTGTATACACATCACCTTAAAAAGAAAATGGACAATGTATCGATCTGTTCTCCCTTACCGACTAAATGTGGAGAATACTATTGTTTTACTTAATATTTCGAAGAAAAGACGTATAATATTTGTAGCAATAAACATCGGTGCTATTTAGGTTTATTTAAGTTTCGATACTATGGGAACAAATGTATATATAACATTCATGTATATATTACGGTTCACGAACATCTACGATTTGCCGCGCCGAAACAGCCTGTATGTGTTGCATGTATGCGTGTGTTCTGTTGAAAGGAGTGAGTTGAAAGAAGGGGAACGAAAGCAGGATAATATTAACATCGGTAGGTGCCGCTACGGTTGGCGTCCTATCTCTATTTCTTTTCCTTGTTATTCCATCTTTGTCTGTAGCTATAAAGTTTAACCGCTCTAAAGAAAACATATCCTGACAAAATCACGTTTTAAATATATGCTATTTGCATATTATTTAACTCTTTTTTTATATTTTTGCGAATTATAATAAATATTTCATCCATAATATGGACATTGATACTTTAAATACAGAATATATTTATGTATAATATATTTACATATATTATTATTATTATTATTATCATATTGTTTTATGTTTATTTATATTTATTATGTTTTATCTTATATAAATTAATTAACTTAATCACTTAATATATTCTAATTTTTTAGAGACACCAAAGTTGCTACTACTCCAGAAAAAAAAGTAGTCGAAGAAGAGAAGAAGACAGTTCAAGAGGTTGATGAAGATTCAAAAGCATCCGAAAATGGAGAAGCCGAAGAAACCAAAGAAAATGGCTCAAATGAGGAAAAAGAGGTAGAGGACAAGGAAGCAGAATCAACAGAGAATGGTGATTCTACAGGTAATATTAATAAAATAGTTTTTAATTTGTGGTCAAATATTTAAATATTAATTATGCTATAACAATATAAATTGTTGTGTGTTATTGAAAACAATAGAAAATTCAACTCATTTATAAGAATAATATTAAAATATAGTTATTTCTATCCATAGATGCTCCCATCGATAGTTGTTGTGTAAAGAGAAAATCAACAACTTTAAGCGAAACAACAGAAGAAGCTACTACTGATGGTGCCAGTCCTGAAAAAAAGACAAAACTTGATGAGAAATGTGCTGAAACAGAAAGCAATGGGGAAGCAGAAGCTACGGCCTAATATTTTTTGTTTACTACAAATTTAATCTATAGATACAATTTTAACAGCTAATGACAAGTCAGAACACCTAAAATTTGTTATGCATCGTCAAGATAGACGAGCATTAAAAAACAAAAATTTCAATATTGTATTAATGACTTTTGTGTTCAGACATTTTATGTGTGTTTATTGCAACCATTTTTATGACTTTGATTGGCTATAGGATATATCCATAACATCATTATAAATTACCATCTTAGATTACTACCATTCATGTTTCCTAAGTTTTCCACATTGACGTCCATACATAACACGTATATACACACAGTGCTAAACTTATAAAATGAAAAAGATACAGATAATATTATAAATAATATATTTCTGATACATAAAAGTAGATAATAGTGTGGTGCTTGAGAATGACACTTGTAGAAAAATGTTCCGTACATAATGTTCTTTTTTTTTCTGATGCACAGACAAATATATATTAACACTTTATATTGAAGATGGAAGAAACAATATTTGTTTGCAAATCAAAATACATTCCTAAAATATCTTAAAGTTCGCCCAATGTTCATTAGTATTTCCTGACGAAAGATGTAAAATGAATTCCATTTGTAAACTCTGACAAATATTTGTTTTTCATACATATGTATGAATACATAATTTAGTATTCAATAAAAGTAAAACAAATTAGACAAATTATAAAGTGTTTGAATGCGTTGACATTAATATGATAATATATAGTTTAAATGATTTATAATTAAAATTTAAACTATATTCAATAAAAAATAAATATTCATTTATCAGAATTGTCAAAATATTTAATATATGTACAGAAAAATACTGGTGAGTAAAAAACGTGTAATGTTATTTGCGAAAACAGCGATAGGAAATACTGTGTTAACAGTTTTATTTGATAAAGTTGCATATCAAAAATTTGAAATTCATGTGTAAAAGAAATATACTTTTAAACAATATTAAAAGTGCAAAATTAAAAGCAATCTAGTGTATATTATACGTATTAATATTAACCAATTGATTTATATATTAAATACAAAGCAGTTACTATAGTCCTTATCATTAGTCCTTTTTAGTTACTATCTAGTACAAATTGTTCTCATACAAAGTATAATAAAATCAGAATAACTGTGTAATATTATTTCTTATATAATAAATACTACCTGTGAATTGGCAAAACTGTATAGAATTATATTAAAACATCCATGAACAAGATAAAATTAATTTAAATACAATGTTGATGTATTTATGTTAGATTTCTATATTCTGATACTTCATAAAAAATACAAAATAGTTGTTATTAATAAAACTATGTACAAAGTAATATTTGTCTCTTTGTATATATTACAATATATATGTAACACAATAAAAATTCATTTACGATGAGGTCACAAAATCTTAAGAATCGCTTATAGTTTCATAATAATGTTCGTGTATTGTTAAATTTTAAATCTAAGGAAACTATAATTTTGATATTCATCATTCTTTTATTTATTTTAATTTAATTTATAGCATACTATAATATTATATTTATTTTTTCATTTATTCTCTGTTAAAACTTTTAAAATATATTATGAGATGGCTTTAAAAATGATATTTTGAAATTTCAGTAAAGTTTAATAAATTTCTTACGTGTGAGAATACAAAATTCAAATTCCTACTTCATTTCATTCAAGCGAAAATAAAAAATATTTTATATCAAGTGAATTTTTGCTGATTATTATAGCGATTGACAATACAAATATGATGAAAATTTTATGTTAATTTTTTTAATATAATTTAATATAGTTCAAATGTTTTCAAATTATACAGTGTCATCTATAGGAGAATTAAAGCTTTAAAGAATTGACAGTGTGAAAGATACGTGTATCATAGACGAGGTATATGAATATGTATATACCGGGCGGTTCATTTTAATTGTATAATTAGTATTTAAATACATGAATTTATAGTTTAAAGACATGTTTGAAAAATAATTTTGTTTCATTGTGTTGTTTATATAATTATATAAAATGTATGCAAAACCGATTTTCTCTAAACCTGGTAAGTGCAATTCTGTTTAAATTCATTGTCTATACAAACGTTTAAAAGAATAATTTTTCCTCTTTTTTATTTCCATTTGCTACTATTGTATTTTTTTTTATTTCAAATGATTTAAAAATAGTATTATGTATTTACATGTATAATTGTATGACATAACCTATTGTGAATTTTGTGTGTGTGTTGTGTGTGGTTGTGTACTCCATATGTTTATATATATACTGTATTGAGAAAAATTTTATATTCATTTGATAATCTTTTAAATTGTAGAAGACAGTATGTGGCAAGAAGATAAACCAGATATAGAAGCCCATTCATCTACACAATTTGTATATAATGCACATCATTCCCTTGCACTTAGCATGCAACGTCAACGACTACCTACATTTAAATATAAAAATCATATTATATATTTACTGGAAAAATATCAAACATTAGTCTTGATTGGTGAAACTGGATGTGGAAAAAGTACACAATTACCTCAGGTATGTTCTTATTTTAAACAAATTTAGTACAAAGAGATAAAATTTTAATCCGATAGCATTGTGATAATATGGATTTTATTGCATATTAAATAAAATTGTAAAATTGTTTTATATGAATTTAAGATATAACAAAATA